TCAAAATCTCTCCGAATTAGTTTTACAACGAATGCTATACATAATGATACTAGTTGTCTGAAAAAAGCAATTAAATAGTTCCATGGCTGGACTCCAGCCTGCAGGCCGCGTACACAAAGTCTGCCCAAATTTCCCCCGCTAACATTTACAAATACGACATATATATCCTGTGAACTACTATGTACAATGCATTCGTCGGTTTTATCTGTGTCCATGTTCCGGCGAAATTCATATAAACTCATAAAAAGTTTGCAAACTTTTAATCTCGTCGCCAGATGTGTGTTTTCCCGTCAGAGATTAACGTCGGTTTTCCTAGACTGGGATTCTCGGAAATCCACGCGGCCTGCAGGCTGTAGTCCAACACTGAAACTATTCAATTGTTTTTCAGATAACTAGTATCATTATGTATAATAATCGTTGTGAAAATAAATCGGAGAGATTTCGATTTGACAGTTTTTACGTATTTTTGAAACAGGTTTCAAAGTGTGTTGGTTCTGTTATGCAAGATCATTTTTGACGTTCCAAAGTTAAAGTTCGGTGCTAAGACCACCTAAAGATAAATTTGAAATGTTCCTATTATTAATTAGAACAGGTTTCGCTTTAATTTTTATATTTTACATTGACATTTTATTGCTTTAAATCTTCCTAGTGCAAAAACAGTAAATTTCACCTTTTGACCTCCAGGGTCACTAAGACTAAAGGTGAATTTAGCAAGTTTACATTTTTATTGAAAGTGTAATTACTTTCGATCATTTTCAGCTTCTTTTCATAATACAAGAATGACTGCGCATTCACTTTCTGTGCAAATGAACTCATTTGACCTTTGACCCCGAATATCTCGAAAACGCCCCAACAGCGGACTGATTACCACTCGGCATCGTAATCTACGCAAAATTTTACTCTAGAAAAGTTGGGTCTGGTTTTGTGCCCATTTGATGGACCCCCCCCCACCCCCGCGCTGAGCCTCCGGTCTAATATTGAGACATCGTCATTTAAAGGGCCATTGGCGGAACGATTGACCCAATACTACCCCCTTCGGGTTATTCACTCGAGTGAACCATTGAATAACCCGAGCGGTATTCAATGGTCATTGAGTTCTGTTTTTATTCTATAACTACAAGCAAATCTCAAAATACACTGTACTATCCAGATTACAACAACAACAAAAAAAAACAAAAACAAAAAATAAATAAATAAAAAAAAAATCGTCACCAATAAGTTAGAATTCATCATCGGTTCTGCCGTTTTTTCTTACTTTTTTTTACAACCAGTGGCTGCCAGGCAGGATACGCCCACATTTTGCAAGAGATTGATAGAGAACAAGCTAAAAACAAACGGGATTTTTTGTACAATCAGGGCAATAATCCAGAAAGTTATGGTCTGAAATGCGCAAATATCAAAAGGGACTGAGATCTTTGGGATATAGAGGATAGACAACCTACGTATTGCATACTTTTACACAATTTGAGTACAAAGAGCGGCCATTTTGTTGGGCAGTTTCATTTCGATTTTACCGAAATTCGAATTCAACCTTTATTATGGTGGAATGATGAAATATTTAAACGGTTTTTAAAATCGGAAAAAAATTGTGACCTCTAGAGAATCCGCAAGCTAAAAATGCCATTTTCGAACAAGCAGGGGCCATAATCCAGGAAGTTAAGTTCAGGTATCCGTGATTATCAAAAGGATCCATAATCTTAGTTTGTAATGGTGATATATTCACACATTTTTTTTAAATCAGATAAAAATTGTGACCTCTACAAGGACCACAAGCTAAAAACGTGATTTTTCGTACAATCAAGGGCCAGAATTTAGGAAGTTACTATCCAATATGCTGAATATCGAAAGGAACCAAGATCTTTGGGTTATTAACTTACATTTCAAGTTTCATCAAAATGAAAAGAAAATTGTGACCTCTAGAAGGCCCACAACATTGATATACCATATTTTTTTTACACTATTTGAGTACGAGGGACGGCCATTTTGTCTGTCAGTTTTGTCCGATATTTACGAAATTCCTTAGGGTGTAATGGTGATATATTCGAATGTTTTTTTAAATCTGATAAAAATTATGACCTCTAAAGGGTCGACAAGCTAAAACGAGACTATTCGTACAATCAGGGGCCATAATTCAGGAAATTACGTCAGATACGCGCGAATTTCGAAAGGAAACAAGATCTTTGGGTTATAAACTTACATTTCAAGTTTCAACAAAATCGGATAAAAATTGTGACCTCTATAGGGTCCAAAACCTTGATATACCATATTTTTACTCTATTTGAGAACGAGGGGCGGTCATTTTGTCTGTCAGTTTTGGGCCGATTTTCACGTAATTCGAACTCAGCTATTCTTATGGTGTAGTGGTGATATACTAAAACAATTTTTTTTTTAAATCGGATACAAATTATGACCCATATATGGTTCACAAGCTAAAAACACGATTTTTCGTACAATCAGGGGCCATAATTCAGGATTCAGGAAGTTACGGTCCGATATGCACGAATATCGAAAGGAACCACGATCTTTGGGTTATAAACGTACATTTCAAGTTTCAACAAAATCGGATAAAAATTGTGACCTTGCAAGGTCCACAACCTTGATATGCCATATTTTTACGCTATTTGAGAATGAACGGCGGCCATTTTGTCTGTCAATTTTGGGCCGATTTTCACGAAATTCGAACTCAGTCGTCCTTAGGGTGTAACGGTGATATAATAAAACGTTTTTTTTAAAATCAGATAAAATATATGACCTCTATAGGGTCCACAAGCTAAAAACGCGATTTTTCGTACAATCAGGGGCCATAATTCAGGACATTACGGTCCGATATGCACGAATATCGAAAGGAACCGAGATCTTTGGGTTATAAACTTACATTTCAAGTTTCAACAAAATTGGATAAAAATTGTGACCTCTATAGGGCCCACAACCTTGATATAACATATTTTTACGCCATTTTGTCTGTCAGTTTTCGGCCGATTTTCACGAAATTCGAACTCAGCCAGCCTTAGGGTGTAACGGTGATATAATAATACAGTTTTTCAAATCGGATAAAAATTATGACCTCTATAGGGTCCACAAGCTTAAAACGCGATTTTTCGTACAACCAGGGGCCATAATTCAGGAAGTTATGGTCCGATATGCGCGAATATCGAAAGGAACCGAGATCTGTGGGTTATAAACACACATTTCAAGTTTAAACCAAATTGGATAAAAATTGTGACCTCTATAGTGTTCGCAAGCTAAAAACGTGATTTTTCGTACAACCAAGGGCCATACTCCATGAAGTTACAGTCCGATACATGCCAATATCGAAAGGAACCGAGATTTTGGGGTGATAAACCTATATATTTCAAGTTTCATTGAAATCGGATAAAAATTGTGACCTGTAGAGTGTTCACAAACAATTGTGGACGGACGGACGGACAGGGGCGACGACAATATACGTCCACATATATTGTGGAGGTTATGGAGAAAGTATTTGTCATTCTGTTGGTTTATTCGGTAACCATAGTTACTGATATAAAAACCCAACCCTATTTTATTCTGGTTATTGTAGGATGATCCTTGGGGTAAGTTGAGATCAATTCAAGTGTTGGATGATCCTCGGGGTAAGTTGAGATCAATTCAAGTTAAATAAACTAATTGCAGGTCTAAGAATTGACAAAATTAATGAAGTCGTATGTAACTTTTACAGAAAACATTAAAAAAAAAATTTAAACACATTTATTTAATCAGGTTTTTAACTGACTCTGTATACAATCGTTCACATGTCCATAATCTTGTTGTTTATGTATAATTTACATTGTCACTTTGTAAAGTGCCCCTGAACATGTTATATGAAAGGGTGCACTATAAATATGCTGTAATAATAATAATAACAATAATGAGGGGATCGCATGGCTAGCGTATTTGCGAACTGGCGGAAAAAGAAAAGAGCGGAGGACAATTCCAGAATGTAGTTTTATGGTAAAGTGGGAAACAGTCGTGCATGTATCAAGTTGCTTGATAAACAAGGCTACTTATAGATTGGGGTACTTTTCATTCGATTAAAATGTTTTGAGGTGGATTTGATCCGGGTAATTTGCATAGGGACTGAAATTAACTTTTCTTTGAAGAGTTCTACATTTGGCGTTGCGGCCAAGTGTAAACGGGGCTTTAGTCTAGTAGGTAGGACACACCAGATCGATTAGGAGGCCTCTTCGATTCCGTTTCCTTTGGGTAAAGACATGATGCTATTTACAGGGTGGCGTCCATGGAGAAAAGTCGTCTGTAATTATCAAATCCCGCAGAAAAAAGTTTAAAAACCATAAACTTTAAAATTAAACATACATTCCTAGTGTTGTTTTTATGCAAGTTTATATACACACACACATGCAGTAGGCCTTACTGCTCGAGTTAAAGGACAATATTGGTGTCAGTCATTATAAAATAATTTTAACATAGAGATCATTGCTACGGGAGATGTGTAACAAGCACGTGAAGAAACGGGAAGTGACGTCAAACATGACAAACACGAGTTGTCCTTCTATGTAACTGACTGAAGTAACGAGCGATAACAGACAAACGATCGAATTTCATTTCACTGATAATTCAGTTGAAGATAAAAAGTTGTTGTATGGGACAACGAGAGGATATCTGACAATTCAAAAAAAGAATTGGCTGTCAGTAGATAAAAGATAACGAACAAATTAGAAAATTAAGTCCGTGCATTACCATGTTTTTATTAAGAACAGAATGAATAAAAACGGGGGAATGCACAGGATTTTTCTATTTTTCTTGTGTCCCTTATCTAGTGACAGCCAATTCTATTTCTGAATTGTGAGATACTCTCTCACCGTCCCATATAATAACCTTTCAACTTCAACGGAATTATCACTGAAATGAAATTCGATCGTTTGTCTGTTATCGCTCGTTACTTCATTCAGTTATATAGAAGGACAACTCGTGTTTGTCATGTTTGGCGTCACTTCCCGTTTCTTCTTGTGTTTGTTACACGTCTCCCGTAGCAATGATCTCTGTGTTAAAATTATATTTGGAATGTATTTAACCAGTTCTATCACATATGTAATAATGACTGACACCAATATTGTCCTTTAAGATAGTCTCTATTATTCAGATTCTTAGGAGCATTGTACATTTATATTATATAAGGGGGCCAGTTATTATACATTTGTTATGCGATATGGACACTAAACAAATTTTAAAAATCCACAGCAATGGACAACTGTCAGTTCTATAAATATAATTCTCAATAATGAATTGAATATCTTCTTATTTTGTTAACAATCTGAACGATTCAGTCATGGAAATTGAGTTTATTTCGATTGATCACATTTAGTTATTTTGTACACTTGTATTAAAAGTGGTGTAGTTAATCCAAAAGTCAAAGCACACGGTATGTTCATTAATATAATGGGATCTAAAGTTGATAGCACACTGTAAAAACAATATAGCGACAACTTGATCAGTGATGGTATCGTTTACATTATGTAAATTTACGTGTAGGGGTTAGATATGTGGCGAACTGACTTACAGTTTCTCCACTTTGGTAAGATTCTTGTCTGAAAACGTATCCTTCATAGCAAATATTTTTCTTGCAAAGAAAGTATTTATATAGGTTGTCTAAAGCTTATGGGCATATCTTGTGATGTACAATAATAAAATAGGGGACCAATATTATACAAATACTTTGCGATATGCATACTAAAAAAAGTCTACTTAGAAAGTTTTAAAAACCATATGTTTTAAAATTAAACAGGTAAACTGAAACGTGTTCAAAATTTATAATTTGGGCATTTGTAAAGAAAAAAAAACCAAGCTTTGATCTGTAGATATAATACAAACTTCAGCTTGTGGAAGTACAGATGGACCTGGAATATTGAAATACCCAATATATACAGATATTTAGTCTGCGTTTACATCATAAAATGGTCAAATCACTCAAATCAGAATAACGAATAACTTCTAGAAAAGAAGTTAAAAATATAAACCGTTTTCAAAATGTTGAAAGATATACAATAACGAGGACTATGTAATATAGACAAGATTTTAAATCCAAAATAGGCAAGATTTAAAAAAAAAAACAACAACTTTAAACAGTCACTAATAATGATAATCAAAGTTCAGTAGTTACAATCAATGAACCTTGATCATTAACATCAAGTTTACTTGTAGGTTGATTTACGGCCATCTCCTCTCCTGTATTGAGTACCTTAGTGTTCTCGCACACAGGATTACTTCCTTCTAGATGAGGATTCCCCAAACAAGTCACACTTGTTTCAAACTCACAAGTATTAAGTTCATTAAAATCACTAAATTCCTCCTTCATATCATTAGCAGATTTTGATTTAAGAATGTGATTGTGACTTTTTTGATTTGCCCGAGGACTGTGCACAAGATTTGTTGTCGGTACGGAAAGGCGTGTTTGTTTAGGTGACCTTAAATACTGTCTGTTATACAACTCTGAAGCTTGTTTATCATAAGGTAAATTTTCAGAAGACAATGACAAGCCTTTTATGTAGGAATCAGCTGAACAACATGGTGAGAACACCATATGTGGAATACTATTTTCGCTTTTAATCATACCGTCACTACCCACACTCAACATACTAGAACCAAGTAAATTCGGTAAACTCTCCTCAACATTCGGTTCAAAGGAAAATGATGATTCCCCTGGGGAATTGGGGGATAAATTTGGAGAAGCTAGAGTTTCAGTAAGATTCAGGAATCTACCCGAGCTGGTTATCACTTTTAGTAACTGTTCCACAGTATTACTGACTCGACGAACCTCACTACTTAAACACCCCATTTTACGCTCAAGATTATCGACACTGGTTCTAGTATTTTCCATTTGTTTCTGAAGACCCTGGTATTGACCTTCTTCTGGTTTTACAGTGTTGCCTGAAATAAACAACAAGGCATTTCATGTTCTTCATCAGTCTAGCCTATTCAATGCATAGAATTTTAAATTCTGCATATGCAATTTTATAGGGCAATATCTTTTTGATTTACAACTAAGTATACTGTAAAATGAGAAATAAATATATCATTTTAATACACGCACAAATCATCATCTAAGGTAAAAAAAATACTAAACAGTGGATAATTCAAATGATAACTACTGATATTTTAAAATAACGTAATTACAATGATGTAATGGACTAATGTAATGGATAAGGCCGACCATGCGATTGTCATATAAGATACATCCACATCTTGCACCAGATGGACCCGGAATGGGGAAAATCAATAGAGCCCATCCTTTCATTATCCCCTGCAATGCTTCACATATTCACAGTGAATAAACATGGTATAAACCCAATGGAAGGTCCCCAAACCTCATATATATTTCACATTTTGCGTACAAAGCAGGGTTATAACTCGAGAATGGAATTTCTGATGTGTACCAAAATCGAACATTTGATCCTGAACACATATTTTTCTAAGTTTAATCTGAATTGGACAAATATTGTCGACCCTAGAGGGATGACAAACATTGTAAATGTAAGCCAATGGGTAAACTCGAGAACCAACATACAACAGATCCAACATTTTTTGTTTTATCCTAACCATTTTTAATTTTCATCTAAAACACGATTTCTAGTACAATCAGGGGCCATAATCCATCCTGTTTTTATTTGATGGCCACAGAGATAAGAAGAGAGTACACGTTTCAACTTTACCTTGATTTAAACTAGGAAGTGTTCGACATGGTCGTAGTTTGTGATTTCTATTATATCGAAGACGAGTCCCCATAGAGTTAGATCTTCGCATGCCATGCAGGGATGAAGTAAATTTTCGTGGAGTATTTCCTTCCTGCTGTAATGTGTCAGACCTAAAATTGCAAATAAATCAGTAAAATATAAATGATCATAGTTTTATAAAAGTAGGCAAAGTACTCTAAGCTCACATATTTGTCTTTACGAATCAGAATCATTTAAATGATTAAAGAGTGTCGCTCGTTCAGCAGCGAACTGCAACAACCCCTCCCCACCCCCACCCCCTAAAAAACAGGAAAATCGTTCAAATGTAGATACTCGAAAATCCATTTACAAGAAAGCCATTTACAAGAAAGTCGACTTCCTAGCAAGGAAATTTCACTGTTTGAGATAAAGTCGAACCAAATTCTCCTATTTTATTGATCCTCAACATATATTTTAAGTTTCATCTAAATCGGACCAAAATTTGGGGCTCTAGAGGGGTCCACAAAATTTGTACAATTCAGGGCCATAACCCAAGAAGTTGTGGTTTGATGTACCCAAAATCGAACTCTACAAAGATCTTTTGATCTATACGTTCAGTTTCATCGAAATCGGACAAACAATCGAGGGCTCTAGAGGTTCCACAGATTTTGTCCATCATTAACATTGTGCTTAAATAAGATTTCCCCTATTGAGTCCACGATCTGGTACGTGCAGATACTTTTCGATACGATCAACATGATTGCTACGGCTGACCTCGATATATGATAAGACCTGATAGGATTACCACGATTACTTCACGATTAAAACCATGATTTAAATCACAGCACGCATCGTGATAGTGGGAACCTAGCATTAATCCGAGAAGTTGCGGTCTGGTGCAGACCAAATTCGAACGCCACATATTTTATCCGAATCAGATCAAAAACTGTGTCCCCTGGGGGGTCCCCACCCTTTGTACATAGTTCACAATTATATGTAAAAGTGTGTGTGTTTGTGTGTGTGTATGGAGGGGGGGGGGCGTGGTGCCTAGGTGGATAAGAGCCTGGAGGTCGGGTGTTCGATCCCCGCATTGACAGAGAAAGTTCATCCAGATCTTCCGGCGTGGTTCCCCCTTGTCAGTGATGCAGGACGGAGGGCCTGACAAGGACAGCTATCTAGTCGTTCGGACTAGATGAAAAACCGAGGTCCCATGTACACATTGGCGTGCACGTAAAAGATCCCTTGACAGTTGGAATTCGATATAAGAGTAGGCCATAGTGCCGCTGTCCGGGCAAAATTTTCATCATAGGTACACTGTATGGTGCATGCCCATCTTCATTAGCCCAGTTGGGAGCAGAACAGTAGGACGTTAAACCTCATTTCATTTTATTTATACGTAAAAGGAAAGGGGTATAACCGAAGAAATTGCACAACTCTATGTGGGAAACAAACATATATCTTACGTTTCAGCAATATCCGATCAACAACAATATGTGGACAAACAAAATTTATCTCAATCAGTCCAGTGGGTAAAATTCGTGTAGAGATAAGACGGAAGTGGATAACAGGATTTTATTATTAAATAAACAGAGATCTATCCAAATTTTGGTGCTTGTATCCAGATTTGAACGATTTTTACATCTAACTGCCCTACCCCAGAAAACAACCAATCTATTATTTCCTGGTTATTAAATTATATTGGTGTACGAGTTAAAATATAAATCCTGCAAATAGATATATACATTTAATGTGTGAAACAAAAAATTTTATATATTTAAACACAGTGAACAATTGGAATTTAGTTACAAACATTATATGATATTTTAAATATATCTACAGCAGCTGCCAGGCCCGTAGCTAGTAGGGTGCAGGGGCAAGAGGGGCAAGTTGGTCATTGGATTTGTATTGCGTCCAGGCCTGGCTGCTTTTCAGCAGAGTATTAAGGCATCTTATTTCATCTAAAAACGAAAATTACCCTGTATGCATTAGGGATTAAGAAATAATAAATTTTATGTTAGTAATGTTGTTAATTGTAGGTTTATATTATAAATAAATTATGATAGACCAGCTCCATGCAAGATTATGTCCAACTTAAAGTGCATATCTAGAAAATGAAATGTGACAATGTTGATACACCTTTTTAACCCTAACCTACTCCGATTTTCTTATATACACTGTACCTTTATACTAACTCATGTGGCGAGGGATGAACCATTTTTACATAAGTACGCCAATTTACTCAAACATGAATTTAGATGTACTCACATCTACGGTATATAAAAAACACCTTTCTTACTTTAATTAAATAAATATATTTTTAATTGAAAACGGATTAATGTGAAAAAAAACAACAAAAGGATGTGTACGAAATAAAATGGCTACTCACAAGGATGCAATACACTATTTCTAATTAACCGATGTACTGGCTTATTATCATGTATATTGAGGTATGAAGGTAACATTTATTAGTAAATAATTATTAATATTGATACAGACTATAGCTGTCTTGTCACAAGTTAACACCATGGTACACAGCAAACAGAAAATGTAAACTGATTTATATAAAACCCATATATTTTATAGTGATAGTACTATGATCATTTCAATCTATAAGTTAAATAAATCAATAAATAGTTTTACTATGTATTAACCTATTGCTGTGAGAAATTCTCTCCTTCATTGTTAAGTAAGATCAGGAATTTTGCAATTTGTAACCAACTAGTTCTGAATTTCTATTGTAGATTCCTGCAACTCTAAAATATAATGTGTCAATGGTTGTATGTACACGTGTAGTGTGCCCGCCCACAATACACCAATATTGATACATGAAGGTTAATATTAAAACTGACTTTAAAGGTGCTCTGTGCAGATCATGCCAAATAAGAATAAGTGCAGTCATGCTAGATACCCCCGCCTTTCTTTCCCTCATCAATTCACCAATATCTTCACTTCTCTTAATATATGGTGGCTGTTTGTTTAATACTGTAATATTAATATCATGGTGGATGTTTTGTTCAGTTTGGATCTTAATTAATTAAATCATCAGACACAGTTCTAGTTACCATAAATAATTAGAATTTGTTTGGATTCTAGTTCTGACCTGATTAGTTTCGGTTCGTATAAATTTAAGGCCAATCAGATAATAACTTAGGAGTCCTGTACGTGCAGCCAAATTGAAAATCTATAGACTTTTTTTCTTTCATGAATATAAACACTGTAAATAAATAGTTGAAAATCAACATAAATGCGGTGTATAAATTTCAGGGCCTATAACTCTGATAGTAATTATTGTGAATTGTTGCAAATTAATAGATTTCTGCTTCTCATGAACTTAAACAATGAGCATAGATTTCAAGTGAATCATACTATGAGGTAGAGCCATACAAGCAACCATTGATCAATGTGATAACTCTGACTCCCATGAACATACATTTCAATTAATTGTGGAAGGACAGACTTTTATTTCCTAAATAACCTGTAAAAACTATAAAACAAAAAGATGTTACATCTCAATATGTACATTCTTGTCTTCGTTATTGTCAAAATTTATGATAATAAAAAGATAATAATTATTTCTAATTAAAATCTCGAATGCTCGATATTTGTGAGTTTGTAAGAAAAGTGTTTCAACAAACAGAGGTGATAAAATTTTAACATTTCCCATTAACCTGTTTACTTAGGTTAAGTGGTTTTTGGGTGTTTGTGTATTTTAGGATTTAACAAGTATTATGAGAAGTGAAATATTTACGACCTCCATGCGGTAAAGAAAAGTGGAATGTCCTATGGCTCCATACTGAAATTTAATGTGCAAATAAAACATGAATATTAAACTTTTTTATATTTAATGGCAGATACCTCTTACTTGTCGGTGGCGATGGCGGTAATAACCACTTGGCTAACTTTAACTGCTTGAAGCTACCGGTAATACTGTGCCACAAACAAATACATAACAATACATTTATCACTTTAACACTACATATATATCATTCACTGTTTTCTTCTGCTCAATTACTACAGACCTTTAAAACTATATTATGTTCCTTTTCCTATATAGAATCCTCAACCCCCCAGAAAACCAATCTTCCAAATTACGTCAGTATGTGTAGTCAACCCAAGATTTCACAGACAGACTTTACAAAAACAAATCAAACATCAAAAACTGAAAAGTGCTTACAAGTGTAGAAATATTCGGGTTTAAGAAGGAGTCCACAGAAACCCATGCAAAGTGTGATAAGACACTAGGCCTACACTTATGGACCACTAACCCACATGTTATGTTGGCAGACCTCAGAATCCGACAGTTCCTCAGAAATCAATTTTTCAATATTTTCAGTGATAATAATTGATAATACATTAACTGCACATTTATCTTTTTCAAAATTATTGAGCAATCAAACTGATTATATATATTTAGTCTAAGCATAAAATGTTCACGATCAAACTCAGTCAAGGTTTTGAAGTACCTGGTAGTGAAACTATACACCAAGTTTCATCCCTCTCCATCAGTTAGAATCAAAGTTATCTTGTCCAAAAGTATTGACCAATGAAATTGCTTAGCTCTGCTTAGTTTTTGTAGGAAATGTTAGTCATTGAACTCAGTCAAGGCATTCACCAAATGAGCGCCTACACCAAGTTTGAATATTGTACCTCAATTAGAAGGAGAGTTATTGTGTTCCAAAGTTATTGTGTTCCTGAGCCGAAAATGCTCATTATCGAACTTAGTCAAGGCACTGATGTAATGAAACTATACACTAAGTTTCATCACTCTCACTTAATTAGAACTAAAGTTACCGTGTCCCAAAGCATCAAGCAATCAAATTGCTTATCTCTGCTTACCCTAAGCAGAAAATTGTCATCTTTGAACTCATTCACGGTACTGACCTAATAAACACTTACACCAAGTTTGAACATTCTAGCTCAATTAGAAGGAGAGTTAGTGTGTCCTAAAAAGTGTGACAGACAGACAGACGGACGGACGGACAGCCCCTTTTAAACAGTCCCCTTGCTTCCTTCGAAAGGCGTAGGACAATATGCAACTAAAACAATACTATTTTATTGGCTAAAATAGGCCATTTTTACTCATGTGGTCAGTAGCCCATGTGGTCAGTGGCCCATGGGGGTAAAGTAAACAAAGTTTGATTGATATTGATGACATACCCCTGCATTGTTTTCTCATGGACACGTTCTTAATGTGAATAAATTTGGGCAAGGTTTGTTTTGTGGGAGAATTAATATAAATCCATGAGACAACTGCTGTCGTTTAAATTCAGTTTCAAACAAGACAAAATCATTCATCAAGCCAAATGAAACTTGTTTAATTGATGTAAAGCATTTTGACCAGTTGTTTTTATTAGAAACACAGAGACCATAATATGTAATAATAACATAACATTTCCAGACTACATATATAGCAGGGCTTTATCTGTCTATCCAGACTATATATTACAACTTAGTTTCCCTGTGTAAAAATAGCTGTCACAGACACTGTCCCCTCCCCTGAAATTTACCCCACCCTCTTCAAATTATGAAACAAAATGTCCAGGTAGTGAAACAATTGTGTTGAGAAACAGTTACATATGGGACTTAAATGTTGTGGTGAACATGCAAGCCTATTATTACCTGGACATAATATCACCATTGGAGAGTTTTAGTGACCTGGATCGTAGTCGAGATAAAAGAGGTGTTGAAGTAGGATCGATGTCATCGCCTGCATCTATATCATCAATATCATTATTTCTTGTCAACAAAGCTGGTGGCTTGTCACCATCATCATCAACATATTCTTCCTCATCTTCTGATATTGAAGGAAGAGTTATAACAGGTACTGTTGTACTATCATCTTCCTAAAAAAATCAACCTTCATTATCTTTACTCACATTAAAGGAAATTTATTCATCAGAATAAACTTTAAAATTTAGGAAAACGAACTCAAAGTAATTGTAAAATTAGCATAAATGTATGGCATGTGTATGTGTATGGAAATGGATTGGGGAACCTATGTTGACTCGTTTTAACTTATTCTGTCTTTGGTGTGCCAAAAACCTTGTCCGCAGTCATCAGTGGTGAAAAGTCACACTTTTTTTTTTTCATAATTCGCTATCTGCTGTGTTATCATAGAAATGTCAACAAATTCGTCAGTTTACAAGTTACACACTCATTTTGACCATGAAAAACTTCTTGATTTATATTGGCGAGTCTGCACCTACATCTGAGAATGAGCAAAATAACCTCTTGAAGGCATCTGCCCCCAGACCTGCAAATTCGAAATTTTGCTCTCATAAACAAATGCACAAAAGAAGACAAATAAATTTAAAAGAGATGACACAATAAGACACAACATCACTCACCTTATCTTCATCATCTCGACAATCCCGTAAATTATACGTTAAATCGTGTTGAATGTCTTCTGCAAATTTTTCAGCAAATTCAGGATAAAGAGATAAAGCATCTATTAATCCGCGAATATTAAGACACTGAAGTTCACAATAAGCTAGAGAGCGAACATCACCATGTGATGTACTCACTGGTTCCACAAAACTTATATCAGATCCAAATAAATCACCTTTTCCTGAAATAAAATGATACCCAATGACAAGTTTCACCTTTGAATGAAAATAAACAAAAAAGTCAACCAAAATAGGGCCACCACCAGCTTTGTGATGGAAGCAATAATAAACTCAGGCCAATAACGCTACATAAAATTGATGTGAGTTGACCTGAATCCTACATATGATATACCAAACAATCCCCACAAGTTTGATTAAAAAAAACTTTGACATTCGGACTAGCCAACAATCCCAGCTAGTGCAAACAAACAATTAGGTCCAAAATCAAACTGATCCAAAATCTAAATGATTTATCAGGGATATACCAAGTTTTATTAAGATCATGGAAAGTGTCAAAATATTCCCATTGACCAGATCCATAGACAGCAGCTTATCTGGGAAAAAACCCTTCAGATTAGACAATCTTTGCATGGAACCTCTGACATCAGTCGAGCAGACATTCCTAAACGTCAGGTTGCCGGTTAGGGAAACCCTCACATTACTGTCTTGTATGCGCTCCATGGGTGTTTTTCAGGGCATCCAGTATTTTTCTAGTAAGATTGGATGTTTATACTTTCCATATATACCAAGATTGTCATACATTTATTGGAAAAAACCACCTGATAAATACTTTTGTGGGAATATAACTTTAACAAAGCTTGTGGCCAAAGGGGAATAACTTTGATTATCGATGGGGTTCCACCTATATTTATCCCAATAATTGAAACCAAATCTGAAAAAAATGTGTTAAAAACTATCCCCTCTATCAGTGATAGTATCACACTGACAAGATGTTTGACAAGGCGGTATAGCTCCTCTTTGACAAGGTGGAGGTAACTCTTGAATGAGAAGTCACACAATGCTAAATATTGATAGAGTTAATCCTTACACAAACTTGCAAAAAATCTGTTAAAAACTGTAGCATTAATCCTGTTAACAGTGTTTTTTGGGAAAGTGGAGTAACTCTGGAATGAATGGCTGAAGAGTGTTTAAGACAGCTGGCTCTGTCCTATGAACAAGATTTTCGGAATGGAAGAAAATCCATTAAAAACTGTAACCTCTATCACGTTACCAAGACAACCAGCCAAAGAACATGGGTGACGACATTGTACGCTCTCATTTCAGTGTAAGCAAATAAAAATCCATTAAAACTGTAACAAAGTCTTCGGCAAAGCGATGATAACTAGGAACAAAAGATTGCTGAGTACTGAAAATTGAAATAGTCCTCTTATGACCTCTTTGCACCAAATTGATTTATGGAATTAGATGGAAAATGTGGACTTTCATAACTAATTTTCACAATATGATGTTCGAGAGTAGGAAAACAATCAGATGCAATAAATGCATTGTCAGATATTCCAACAAAGCTCAATATATTCAAATTTTATTACCTAAAATGGCTACAACCATATCCTCTTTTAAAACTTCCATAGAGCCGCTACATAAATAGTATATATAATTAACTGTATCTCCACGTCGTACTAAAAATTCAGCAGGAGCACAGAATATACGCTTAGTTTGGAGAGATATTGACTTCAGGCATCCTTGGGTAGCATTTTCAAATATGGGCAATGAAAGAATTTCTTTATGTAAATGTAGACTGATTTCTCCTCTCATTTCCTCAGGAAAGTCTTTAAGCACCTGAAATATTGTAATTTTGAGGTTAAGGTATATTTCTATATTTAAGGGAATCAGATTTTTGCCACTAGTTTATTTGCTCTGTACATGTTTTTGCCACTAGTTTATTTGCTCTGTACATGTTTTAATATTTTTCCCACCCATCCCTAAGTTAGGTCATTCTATAATTGCATTAATATGTATGGATTGTGTTTTAGTTATTTCCATGATAGATTTCACATTATTAGATTTTACAGTTTTATTGTTTTGTTGAGTTCAATTTGAAGCATTGCTACCATGTGGTTTATAGTACACCCTTTCATATAACATGTTCAGGGGCACTTTACAAACTGACGATGTAATCATACAAAAACAACAATAAGATAATAAGATGTTAAACTGATAACTTGCACACCTAAAAGACAGGTTGCCAGGCAACAAAACATACACCCACAGCAGCTAAATCGTCCGAGCAGTCGACAAGGGTTGTCACATATTTATTCTTTTGTAGGTAATTAGGGGAATTTAAAAGACAATTTCATACAGATGACATTATAATTTTCAGCGTTTGAGGGTTCACAAGGTTTTTAAAACTAAAACAAGGGCTGTTACTCTGGAAGTAATCTACAGAAATTGTTCAAATTCGACAGGCTTTTTTGTTTTACTAATTCAAATAATGCATATAAATTTCATACAGATTGAATGATAACTTTTGTCGTTCGAACGTTTACAAAGTTCAACAAAGTAAATCAAGGGCCATAACTCTAGACGTAATTGACGGAAATTGCTGACATTCAATAGGCTTCTTCACTTCACTAATTTAAATAATGCATATGAATTTCATACAGATTAGGTAATAACTTTTGTCGTTCAAGCGTTCACAGATTCAACAAAATTAAAGAGGGGCCATAGATGTAATTAACGGAAATTTGCTGAAACTCAATAGGCTTGTTCGTTTTACTAATTTAAATGATACATATAAATTTCATACATATCGGATAATAACTTTTGTAGTTAGATCATTTACAAGGTACAACAACGTGAAACAAGGGCCATAGCTCCAGAAGAAATTAACGGAAATTGCTGAAATTCTATAGGCTTCTTCATTTCACTAATTTAAATGATGTATATCAATTTCAAACAGTTCGGATGATAAGAGGTGTCATTAGAGCGTTCACAAGATTCAACAAAGTGAAACAAGGGCCATAACTCTAAATGTAATTAACAAAAATTGCTGAAATTCACTAGGCTTCTTTGTTTTACTAATTTAAATGATGCATATAAATTTCATACAGATAGGTTGATAACTTTTGTCGTTAGAGCGTTCACAAGGTGCAACAAAGTGAGACAAGGGCCATAACTCCAGAAGAAATTAACAGAAGTTATTGAAATTACATAGGCTTATTCATCTCACCACAGCAAACAACATATATCAATTTCAAAACAATCAGATGATAAATGTAGTCTGTAGAGTGTTCACAAGAAATTGTGGACGATGGACGGACAGACGGACCGATGGACGGACGGACGGGGGCGACGGCAATATACAACCACATTTCCATATAAAAAGCAAGGTTGGATTTTCAAAGAATTATACATCTGACACAAGTGAATTATAGGACTTAGGATTATTGTTTAACAAGCTACGACTGTGTATATGTATTTTAAGGCCTTATTTTAACATGTTTTGTTAAATGACTTAAAAATGCAATTATTGCTTTAAGTGCCAGTCCACAAGAAAACCATGCAGAAATCGGGAAGGTGAGGGGTAGGCCGATTCCATTCATATTCACAGGGTTTGGTCATGCCCATGATACTACTCGATAGCCAAAACCGCTTATCTCAGAAATTGACCATAGCTGAGATAAGGCAAACAGGTGTTTTTGGGGGCTTTTTGCTCATTTTTTCGTCAATTTTTGGCAATGTTAGCTGCTGTTTTTCAGGTTGTAAATGAGTACTTATGAAACAAATGATGATTCGATAAATTAGGCTAGGTAGTAATGTTTCAAAAAAATGAAAAAAGAAAAATCTACCTTCCCACGAATGTTGCCATTTGTTTATTCCTAAAGGGTATAAATCGAACCCTATAGAGTACCCAACTTTATGCCCCGATATCTCCACTCCCGCGGGGTCCCATGAATTCTTTTTGTGGTTGTTAGTAAATGGGTACAAGGTCTCTCGATTAAAAAAAATAAAATTTCATATATCTTTATACGCATGCGCAATAACATTGTCCAAGTTTTGACAATTTTGATATTGGATCATCTGATATGATATGTTCTGATCAATATAGTGACAAAATATGGATGATAGTAACACTGTTCTACTGATATTTACTATTTGTCAATGATTATAACACCGTCCTGATGATAATTACTATTTTTCAATGACACCGTCCTGCTCATATTTACTATTTTTCAATGATAGTAACATCGTCCCGCTGATATTTACTATTTGTCAATGATTATAACACCGTTCTACTGATATTTACTATTTGTCAATGATTATAACACCGTTCTGCTGATATCTACTATTTGTCAATGATTATAACACCGTCCTGATGATATTTACTATTTGTCAATGATAGTAACACCATCCAGCTGATAGATCCTGATATATACTCAGCCAAATTAAAAACTTGACACTCGGGATTTTTGGGACTAGATTTTTAATATTTGGTTTAAGGCAACTATTTTAGTGTTATGTTGTGCACAGACGACCTTGACATCAACAGAAAGCAAGAATACGTTCGTGATGTCACAGTACCCCCCAAAATGAAATTCACAGACTTGGAGAACAATCGGAATAAAGTGTTTAGTAATGGTTGTGGCCTCCTCTAGCGTCTCGTACTGCCACACAATGTCAACTCATGGATCTCAGAACATTAGTAAACACTACCCGAGGAAGACGTCGCCACTGCTCAGCAAGAGCATGTTGAAGGTCCTGCAACGTCAGTGGTGGATTCACTTGCTGACGAACACGTCGATCCAGTTCGTCCCAGATGTGTTCAATAGGATTAAGGTCGGGGCTAAGCGACGGCCAATCCAGGACTTGGACACCGTCATTTCTTAAAAAATTCTGAGTAGCAATTGCTGTATGGGGTCGAGCATTGTCTTGTTGAAACGTTAGTCCAGGCTCATGTCTCTGCATAAACGGAAGAAGAACAGGTTGCAAAATCTGATTCCTGTACTGGACAGCATTTAAGTTCCCTTGGACAACAACAAGAGGAGAACGTCCATGTGCACAAAAAGAACCCCAAACCATGACGCTGCCGCCACCAAATCGGTCAACTTCTCTGACGCATACTTGAGCGTAACGTTCACCTCGTCTGCGGTACACTCGGACCCCGTCATCGGCAAATCTGAAAGTGAATCGAGATTCGTCACTAAAGACAACCGAATTCCACTGTCTTTGAGTAAATCTTATGTGTCTTGTGGCCCACACAAGTCGGTTACGGCGATGAAGAGGTGTCAATATTGGTCCATTATAGGGCCTCCGAGCTCGAAGACCAGCAGCCTGCAAGTGATTTCGAACAGTTTGTGCAGTTACCCTTCCATAAAACATCTCTCTACTTGTGGACGTTGCAGTGACAAATCTGTTTCTAAGATGACGTAATCGTACTGCTTGATCTTCCTGGAGTGACGTAACACGTGGCGCTCCCGCCCTTGGGCATCGGCAATAGTTCCAATTTGAAGCACTCTCATTCTAGGATTAATTATTGTCTGGCGTGAACAATTAAAGGCTCTTGCAACAGTGACCACAGACTGACCAGCATAGAGCCTACCTATAGCACATAGACGTTCTACATTTGAAAGGCGCGGCATTTTCTAACAAAGATGAAAATAACAATTTTAATTTGTTTTTCCAGTTCAAGTTACGTGTGCGTGTTCAGTTTAAGCAAACTTGCATCGATTGACCTCACGAGTTTGTGTTTGCACGTGTTTTTCATCTTTATATGCTCAAAAGTCACGTGATCTACGTGACTTTACAATTTGATGAAATTAAAGGCTTCTTACTACTTACTATCGTTAGAAACACTTTAAAATTTATTTGACTTACCAGAAAAAAAAATTTGTTGAAATTCATCAGTGTCAAGTTTTTAATTTGGTTGAGTATATATTGAGGAGATTAGATTCATGAGGTACTTCCACTATTTTATCCTTCTGATATTTTGTAAAAATTTATGAATGTAAATTTTGTATGATATTTTGCGAGGGTTTATGAATGTAAATTTTGTATAATACTGTATTTGATATTTTGTAAGGAAAGGATTCATTGAATGTCTCTGATATATTGTGAAAAATTATGAACATAGTTTTTGTAGTACATTTGATATTTTGTGAGGGTTCATGAATGTAATTAGATGTGATATTTTGTAAGGATTAGTATTCCCTCCCGAAAGTAAATTTTGTATATATTTGATATTTTGTGAGGATTAAGGATTGACTCACAAGGTCAATAACGGGCATTGCCCAATTTAGTATTTAATCTGCGATTGTATATTCTTACCTCAGAGAGCAATCTGCACTTTCTGCTTTACGTACAACAAGTTAAAAAAAAATGTTACGAGTTAGACCAACATGTATAAAACTACTCTACTACTAGTACCAATTGTTGCTTTTCGATATTCTGATATATACGCACACCTAATATAATACATTGCTACATTAAGCCAATTGAAAAAAACAAGTTTTTTGTTTATTTTTGGGGCTTTTTGTGAAGATGATGATCACCGTACTTTAAGAGTGTAGGACTACTACTTGTAGGTAGGGTATAGTCTAAATAGAGATGATTAACTCGTTGGTCGCAGGTAGAGGTAAAGATAACATCGGTCCTGAAAATTGAAAGAAAAGAAAAAATCTTTCCTTTTTAGTCGTGCTGACCTGGAACTTTTTAAAGTGTAGAATTTATTTTCCAATCTTGAGGATTTAGGCCTACATTTTACTATTCAATGACTACTGTGAGCTATGACAGTTCTCTCAACTGCAGCTTATAATGAGATCTGTACATATCAAGAGTGAAATAATGCGAATTTTAGCAAATTTTCACTTCCAGTTGCAGTAAGAGTTGTCATATGAACATTATGTTGCGAAAACATAGCAGCTGTAAAGGCGTCTGTATTATACTACATTTGTTTGAATATCAGTTTGATAATATTGGGGATAAAGCCTCGTAAAATTGTCGAATTTATCCGATTTTTGTCAAAATTACCCACTAACCACAAAAAGAATTCATGGGACCCCGCGGCAGTGGAGATATCGCGGCATAAAGTTAGGGTACTTTACAAGGTTTGATTTATACACTTCAGGAATAACCAAATGGCACCCCTGAGTGGAAAGATAGATTTTTCTTTCTTCATTTTTTTGAAACATTACTACCTAGCCTAATATATCGAATCATTATTTGTTTGATAAGTACTCATTTACAACCTGAAAAACAGCGGCTAACATTGCCTAAAATTGATGAAAAAATGAAAAAAAAGCCCCCAAAACACCTGCCTGCCGTATCTCGGCTAGGGTCAATTTCTGAGATCGGCAGTTTTGGCTATCGAGTAGTCTCATGGGCATGACCAAACCCTATGAATATGAATGGAATCGGCCGACCCCTCACCTTCCCGATTTTGCACGATTTTGCATGGTTTTCTCGTGGATAAGCACTTAACAGTTGTACATACTGATTCAGTTAAAAGCTTGTTTAAATAAATGAGTTTTAAGCTGGATTTTAAAAGATATGGAGATTTGCAACATCTTAAAATAAATGGTAGATTATTCCATAAAACAGGTGCTTGATACCGGTAACTAAAAGAGCTCTGACCATAAGAGACTAGTTATGAACAGTTTTGGGTTTTAAAAGAAGTTTATCTATTTGGGTGTCCAATTGGGAGACATTCAAAATGAAGTTAGTTCAAACAAAATAACTGTACAGCTAGATAATGATAAAGTTTGTTTTCCACTTACAAAATAAAAGAAAGGTTGCCAAGCAATGAAACATATGCCCACAGCTAGATAATGATAAAGTTTGTTTTCACTTACAAAATAAAAGAAAGGTTGCCAAGCAATGAAACATATGCCCACAGCAGCCTGAGCAGTCCATCAGGGTTGTCACATATTTATTCTTTGGTCTCTGAAGCATCTCCAGGAAATTTCAAAGTCATCAAGGGCCATAATAAATCTGGCCGTTATTATCAGAAATGGTTGAAAATTATTAGGGTAACCTTAAAGGCTCAATACCACTCTTGTTGTAACTGAATAATATGTCCCAATCTTTATTCTGGTCAACAAATTGTACTATTTTACAATATTCCAAGTAATTGACGATACAAATTTCATCTTAACACACCTTATTTAAAAATTTTGAAAAATACAACATAATGGTTTGAAACGTCTAACGTAAACCTTTCCAAATGAAACTTCGATTTACAAATATTTTCGAACCCTCTGGACAAGTAAAATAGGATGTAATGGATAATTTACACAACAGGTAGGACACTTAAACATCTAGTACTTAGATAGAGATATTATTTATTTTCTGGAGCTTTCAAGCCAGCAAGAGTGGTATTGTCCCTTTAAGGCTTAAACACTGTGTATGAATTTAAGGACAATTTGATGATAACTTAAATAGTCTTTAGATTGTCAACAAGCATTTGTGGATAGACTGACTGACAGGAGTTACGATAATATACAACCACATATTAACATACCAATATTGACAATAAATAGTAAGTACAGTTAGAACAGGAGAACGGCACTACACACAAAACATAACCAAATGATACACGCTTCACCATGCGCCATCCCCATACATGTGTTATCAAATTAACCACCATGATCCCGTAAATGTTTTAGACCCCCAGGCGAAATTGGGTTCTGGGCGAAGCCATCATGCTATTTGTGAATTTCTTCCCCTGTTTAAATTTTAACATGTAATGGGATCTAACGTTCTACTTTTCTGCACCAACTAGGCTTATGTGGATATGTATACACCATGCAGTGTGCCGAGGGAAATTTGGGGCAGGCAGTGGATGGCAGTGATTAGATGATATTCCTTGCATACTGCACCAACAACAAGGGGAAACGAGGATGGAAAATCTGAAGAAGTTTCTCTGGTAACACCATGGGACCTACCACCTTACTCTCCTCTTGTATTAATAAATAAACAAACCTCATTAATATCAATACCATGATTCATAGACCACATAGTTTGAAAGTATTCTTGCATTCTTTGTTTTAATTCTTTAGGAACATGGTGTGTTCGAAAAAAATCCTTTAAATCTTTCGTCTTAGAATGAAAATTGGATCTTCTTGCATACATTCTCTGTATAATGGCTGTCACATTACCAAATACAACAGCATGCATCATTGCTAAATATAAAAAATAGATAAAGCTTATCTTATTTCCATATTTCATACCTACTCCTGAGAACTGTAAAGATAGGTTGCCAGGCAACAAAACATACGCCCACAGCAACTATATCGTCCGGGCAGTCAACAAGAGTTGTCGCATATTTTTACTTTTTTCGGTAATGAAACATTTATAATACATTAAAATCTGATTAAGAGTAACAACTCATTAAGTAGTTATCAGAAAACCATTAGAATTTGTTTGGTTTTTATAAAGTTCTGTCCCATGCTAACGTTTAGTATACAAAACTTTTAACATCATGGATTTAGCTGTTCAAGTCATAAAGATTCATTGAAAATCAATATACTTGTTCGTCTCAAGACCTTAAACACTGTGTATCAATTTAAAGTCAATTGGATATTAACTTTAGCCTCTAGAGCGTCCACAAGATTTTTCAAAGTGATCAAGGGCCATAACTCTGGTAGTAATTATCAGAAATTGCTGAAAATCAATAGACGTCTTCATCCCATGTCCTTAAACACTGTGTATAAATTTAAAGTCAATCGAATATTAACTTTAGCCTCTAGAGCATCCACAAGATTTTTCAAAGTGATCAAGGGCCATAACTCTGGCAATAATTATCGAAAATTGCTGAAAATCACTAAGATTCTTCATCTCATGACCTGAAATTAACTTTGAACTCTAGAGCTTCCACAAGATTTTTGGAAGTGATCAAGGGCCATAAGTCTGGCAGTAATTATCGAAAATCGCTGAAAATCAATAGGCTTCTTCGTCTCATGACCTTAAAGGCTGTGTATAAAGATATTAACTTTAACCTATAGACGGACGGACGGACGGACGGACGGACGGAAGGGGGCGACAACAATATACGACCACATTTCAATGTGGGCATATAAAAAGTCAAGTCTTTCAAGTTTAAAAGGCTTGTTTTACATAAACCTACTTTAATAAAATTCTGATTCAGAAAGTGTAGAGTTGGTCCCAGGCACTTGAGGTCTCGGCCAATCAAAATGCTTATCGCTCTGCTTACCCTGAGCAGAAAATGCTCAATATCGAACTTAGTCAAGGTATTGATGTCATGAAACTATACACCAAGTTTCATCACTCTCATCACTTTCATCACTAATTAGAACTAAAGTTGTCATGTCCCAAAGCATCAACCAATCAAACTGCTTATCTCTACTTACCCTAAGCAGAAAATGCTCATCTTCACACCCCATCAAGGCATTGACCTAATAAACACCTACATCAAGTTTGAATATTTTAGCTCAATTAGAAGGAGAGTTATTGTGTTCCAAAGTCTCGGCCAATCAAATTGCTTATCGCTCTGCTTACCCTGAGCAGAAAATGCTCATTATCGAACTTAGTCAAGGTATTGATGTAATGAAACTATACACCAAGTTTCATCACTCTCGCTTAATTAGAACTAAAGTTATTGTGTCCCAAAGCATCAACCAATCAAATCACTTATCTCTGCTTACCCTAAGCAGAAAATACTCATCTTCGAACTCCATCAAGGCATTGACCTTATAAACACCTACACCAAGTTTGAACATTCTAGGTCAATTAGAAGAAGAGTTATTGTGTCCCAAAAAGTGTGACGGACAGACAGAAGGGCGGACGGACAGACAGACAGACGGACGAACCCATTTTAATAGTCCCCTGCTTTCTTCGAAAGGCGGGGGACAAAAAATGTAAGACTTCCAGAAATGAAATGGGGTTTAATGTCTCACAGTTCTGTTTCGACTGGGCGACTGAAAACAGGAAAGTCTTCAAAGACTCTAGCCCTTGGCGATTGAAGAAGATGGGAAAGTTGACAAAAATTATTTAAACGAATATTTATCTTTTTTCTGTTCTTTTACTGATGTATACAAGCCTTCTCTGGTTGAAATATAATTATTAAACTTCCTTACCTCCAATTAACATCGCACACACTGAAAATATTTTTTCAGCCGTTGTATTGGCCGAAACGTTACCAAAGCCGACACTAGTGATAGAACTACAGGTAAAATAAAGGGCTGTCAGATAGGATATGGTCACATCCGGTTTGGTTTTATTCATTATAGGTGAATCTAATCTTTCTCCTAATTCATATAACCATCCTGTAAAATGTAAATATGACAATAAATATTGCAAAGATAGGTTGCCAGGCAACAAAACATACGCCCATACCAGCTAAATCGTCCGAGCAGTCGACAAGGGTTGTCGCATATTTATTCTTTTGTAGGTAATTAGGGGAATCTAATAGACAATTTCATACAGATGACATTATAATTTTCGTCATTTGAGGGTTCACAAGGTTATAAAAACTGAAACAAGGGCTGTAACTTTGGAAGTAAACTACATAAATTGTTGAAATTCGACAGGCTTTTTCGTTTTACTAATTCAAATAATGCATATAAATTTCATACAGATCGGATGATAACTTTTGGCGTTCACACGTTCACAAGGTTCCACAAAGTAAAACATGGGCCATAACACTAGAAATAATTGATGGAAATTGCTGACATTCAATAGGCTTCTTCATTTCACTAATTTAAATGATGCATATGTATTTCATACAGATTAAGTGATAACTTTTGTCCTTCAAGCGTTCACAAGATCCAACAAAGCTAAACAAGAGCCATAACTCTAGAAGTAATCAACGGAAATTTACTGAAAATCCAGAAGAAATTAACAGAAGTTATTGAAATTAAATAGGCTTCTTCATCTCACTAATGCAAACAACATATATCAATTTCAAAACAATCAGATGATAAATGTAGTCTGTAGAGTGTTCACAAGAAATTGTGGATGATGAATGGACGGGAGGGCGACGGCAATATACGACCACATTTCCATGTAGGCTTATAAAAAGGGACGATATCGATATTGGCATTTTTTTCAACGATATAGTTAAATATCGCGATATTTAATAATATGTCACTTTGCAATTAAATAAATTAAATATAAATGCATTAAAGCTGACTACAGTGTGAGTAAGAATTGCTTTATTCATACACTTTAAACTTTGCTTTTTTTATAATATAGATTTATTAAAATGAACAAAACAACATCCTTTTTGGACAAAAATTCAATACAACCGCTGATGTTTAAAAAGCGTCTGCTTGTGACCTTGTGTAAGAAAATTCTCAAATATCACCTGCAGCGGAAGTAAGTATAGATGCGGTCTTCAAGTCTTGTATTGTAAGTTCAAACAATTTAACAAATACTAAATGATCCGGACTATCTTCCATTCAAGCATTCGAGTGGCTGCGGTATTCCTGGCTTAACAGTGACAGTAATCTATTTATTGATCGTTTTATTCTTGCTTTCAGAAATTAAGTTTTGTAGAGTTTTCTAAAAATATTTGTTTTTTAAAAATATGACAACCTAGTTATAGCCTGGTAATTTGTCGCAGTAGTGGGAAATTTCAGGCGTTTAGTAGGCCTAAGCTTTACATGTAGTAACAACTGACAATTTATTGTCGATTAAAAACAAAGTATATAAAAGTAATGCATACACGATGCAGTGAAAAACGGCTGCAGACACTGCGCAGGTGTTTTCAACATTTAACGATTCTCAAAACATTAGTGTTATTATAGTTTATTGCCGTCGGCTAATTTCCACTGCTGTATTGTGTATTTATTATCTATTTTTATGATAATTTTCTTTTCGATATTTGAAGTTTTTGGCGATATTCGATAAACCACTATATCAATGATTTTTGGTTACATGATATCGTAGTTGGTCTGAAAATACCATATCGCGATAAATGACTATATCGAGAATATCGTACAGCCCTAGTTGCCAACACATACAATGCCGGGAATAAATTTTTACATTATTCCCTGTACTGAAAAGGGACTCAGCAAATATTTAATAAAGATAGGCTGCCAGGCAAAGAAACATATGCCCACAGCAGCTAAATTGTCCAGGCAGTCAACAAGTGTTGTCGTATATATTTTTACTTTTTTCGGTAATGAAACATTTATAATACACTAAAATCTGATTAAGAGTAACAACTCATGAAGTAATTATCAGAAAACCATTAGAATTTGTTTGTTTTTTTTACAGTTCTGCCCCATGCTAATGTTTAGTATACAAAACTTTTAATATCATGGATTTAGCTGTTCAAGTCATAAAATTCATTGAAAATCAATATACTTGTTCGTCTCAAGATCTTAAACTCTGTGTATCAATCTGAAGTCAATCGGATGATAACTTCAGCCTTTAGAGCGTCACAAGATTTTTCAAAGTGATCAATTATCCAATAGGTAGCAAGTTTCATCACTCTCCATCAGTTAGAATCAAAGGTGTCTTCAAAGGTGTCTTCAAAGCATCAAGCAATGAAATTGCTTAGCTTTAACGGGAAATGTTGATCATTGAACTAGTGAACGTTAAGACCAAATTTGAACATTCTACCTCAATTAGAAGGAGAATTATTGTGTTCCAAAGTCTCGACCAATCAAACTGCTTATCAGTCTGCTTACCCTGAGCAGAAAATGCTCATTATCAAACTTAGTCAAGGTATTGAAGTAATGAAACTATACACCCAGTTTCATCACTCTCACTTAATTAGAATTTAAGTTATTGTGTCCCAAAGCATCAACCAATCAAATTGCTTATCTCTGCTCACCCTAAGCTGAAAATGCTCATTTCCAAACTCCACCAAGGCATTCAACAAATAAACACCTACTGGTACACCAAGTTTGAACATTGTAGCTGAATTAGGAGAGTTATTGTGTCCCAAAAAGTGTGATGGACAGACGGATGGACTGACAGACCGATTTTAATAGTCCCCTGTTTTCTTCTAAATATAATTAGGGATAGCATTGAATTATTTGAGAATGGAGGTGTAAATTGTTTATTTCTTACCTACTGTCCAATTAGATTCATTATTTTCTAATTCACTGCGACCAATAGCATACCAAATACATGCCAACCAATGAGCACCAAGTGCAAACATGGACATCAGAAGAGCAACAACTAAAACACTGTATTGTGAGTATCGATCTATCTTTTGGAACAGCCTGGCTAAGCGTAAAAGACGTGCTACTTTCAACAAATGGATTAAGGTACCCTAAGTAAAATAAAATAATGTGTAACTTTTCTGCTAGATAATATTAAGATACACCCACAGCAGCTAATTTGTCCAACCAGTCTACAATGGTTGTAGCATATCTATTTTTTTGTAGGTAATTGGGGGCATTTACAAGACAATTTCATGCAGATCGTTCTACAAATTGAAACAAGGGCCTTAACACTGGAAGTAATGTATAGAAATTGTTGGAATTCAACAAACTTTTTTGTTTTACTAATTTAAATAATGCATATAAATGTCATACAGATTGGATGAAAACTGTTGTCATTCAAGCGTTCACAAGGTTCAACAAAGTAAAACAAGGGCCATAACTCTAGGATTAATGGAAATTACTGAAATTCAATAAGCTTCTTCAGTTCACTAATTGAATTGATTTGATACATATAAATTTCATACATATCAGATGATAACATTAGTCATTAAAGCATTCACAAGGCTTCTTCGTTTTATCAATTTAATGTAAATTTAATACAGATCAGATGATAACTTTAGTCATTACCCTGAACACGCAAGGTTCAACAAAGTCAAACAAGAACCATAACTCTAGAAGTAACTAACGAAAATTTTTGAAATCAAAGGAGCTAAATCAATAATATATGGGACCTAGAAATTGATACAAATGGGTCGCAATGCATATAACAGTGTAATATGAATGTATATAAACTGATTTACATTCAATCATTTTCAATTTTACTGATTTCAAATCAGTTATGTTCGCCAAAATATGCCAGAAGTCTCAATCGAATGGCAACCTCTAGTGTCTGGTTGTATTAAATGCGCGCGCTTCAGATAAGAATATGGGTCACTGTTTGACATGACTTGTGGAATATGTCTAGCCTGGTTCTTCAAGTCCCTTGTTACAAATGGTGCTGAAACACACTATGCTACACGATTCGTTTACCAATGGTAAAATGTTTATATTTTGTCTTAAATATTGTATATCAGAAGCCCATCTTTTCCTGGTAAGAACACAACATCAATGTTGATTGAGTAAGAGACCTGGCTACTTTAAAAAGATTTCTTCATCTTACTAATGTAAACAACATATTATATAAATTTATAAATGACTGGAATGATAACTCCAGGTTTAAAATTGAGGATCCCAAAAATAAGCTCAAATGAAGAATCTGTTCATGTCCTCATGATCCCAATACTTGCCAACTATAGCTTGTGGTACGAATGGTACCTAAACGTTGAAAAACAGAATGATTAGAGGAGATTGTTAATGATCAACCTCATACATACTTTAGAACAAGACATGACCAGATGACATTTCGTCTGTCTTCAGCAGTAGATGAACCTGCCATTATGGTGCCATAAGTCAATTCAGCTAAATTACAAATACTCTATTATTACTTGTTCATTAAGAAATCAATCAACTTGTCAGCTACAAATGCTTTACTGTCATTCCTCAGTGAGAATTAGCCACATGGTTCATGATCCAAGTAATTGGCATATTTAATGGTAATTTTGATAATCTCATACAAGCTTGCTGATTATCTATAACAGGTCCAGTATTCTTTGTGAAAACATGCCATGTCGTGGCGAATAAAGACTCATTTTATTCACGATCCAAGTAATTAACACATTTAACGGTAACAAAACCAATTATCCTATATTATTTTCTATAATCCATGTGAGTAAAAGAAAAATTTACTGGGCGATATAATTGGTAAAGTTTGCCTGAAGAAGCTTAATAAAGCGGAAAGTACTCACAAAAAACTAGTTTTATTTCCTAAAACAACTTTATTTCCTAAAACAACTTTATTTCTAATTTCCAGTTATGAACATACATTCTGTAAGATTTACAGATAAAACAGGTAAGTTACCAGGCAACGAAACATACGCCTACAGCAGCTAAAACGTCCAGGGAGTTAACAAGGGTTGTCGAATATTTATTCTTATGTAGGCAAAGGAAGGCATGTACAATATTATTTCATACAGATCAGATTATAATTTTCATTGTTTGAGGGTTTACAAGGTTCTACAAACCTTGACTCTGGAAGTAATTTAAAGAAATTGTTGAAATTTGACAGGCTTTCTCATTTTACTAATCTAAATAATGCATATAAATTTCATACAGATTGGATGGTAACTTTTGTCATTCGAACGTTCACAAGATTCAACAAAGTAAAACAAGAGTCATAATTAACAGAAATTGTTGAAATTCAATAGGCTTCTTCGTTTCACTCATTTGAATGAGGCATAAAAATTTCATACAGATCGGATCAATTTTGACAAAGTCAAAATGGTGCAATTGATATTCAGATAAATTGATATAAAATAATTAATAGAATACAATATCAAAACAAGCCAACAGTGAGGCTGATGTCCCCCGCCGAAATAGGAAAATAATTAGAGGACACATATAAATTTATCACAAATTATCTTTTACAAAGTATTGAACAATCAAACAGTATATCTTTACTTATAGTCTAACAATCAAAGTAGGAGAGTTATTGTTTTCCAAAGTCTCGACCAATCAAATTGCGTATCGCTCTGCTTACCCTGAGCAGAAAATGCTCATTATCAAACTTAGTCAAGGTATTACTGTAATGAAACTATACACCAAGTTTCATCAATCTCACTTAATTAGAACTAAAGTTATCGTGTCCCAAAGCATCAACCAATCAAATTGCTTATCTCTGCTTACCCTAAGCGGAAAATGCTCATCTTCGAACTCCATCAAGGCATTGACCTAATCAACACATACACCAAGTTTGAACATTCTAGCTCAATTAGGAAGAGAGTTATCGTGCCCCAAAGTATCAACCAATCAAATTGCTTATCTCTGCTTACCCTAAGCGGAAAATGCTCATCTTCGAACTCCATCAAGGCATTGACCTAATAAACACATACACTAAGTTTGAACATTCTAGCTCAATTAAAAGTTATCGTGTCCCAAAGCATCAACCAATCAAATTGCTTATCTCTGCTTACCCTAAGCGGAAAATGCTCATCTTCGAACTCCATCAAGGCATTGACCTAATAAACACATACACCAAGTTTGAACATTCTAGCTCAATTAGGAAGAGAGTTATTGTGTCCCAAAAAGTGTGACGGACAGACAGACGGACAGACAGAAGGACAGACAGACGGACAGACAGACAGACAGACAGACAGACGGACGAACCCATTTTAATAGTCCCCTGCTTTCTTCGAAAGGCGGGGGACAAAAAAAAAATCCTTTTATCCAACATTTCATTAGTAAAGATACTAACTTCTTCAGGGATGACTAAATACAAAATGACTGGAAGTCAGTTATGACATCATAGAAAGACGTTAGTATTTTTACTAACGAAATGTTGGATAAAATGATGTTTTCTTGATATTGTATTCTATTAATTATTGTATATCACATTTCCATGTGGGCATATAAAAATGAATATATACACAATTTCAGTCAATTTATTCTGCACGAAGTTATCAGTGTTGAAAGAAATAGGATTAGGCTTGGGCGATGGAAACTCCCCCCACTGTCACTATAATACACAAAGTTCGTTCAGGTGTCTGTCTACCTGATATCATGTATAACGGTCACACACATTCAATTCTATAATATTATATATAACAATATACTGTTCAACTGTTCAAATAAATAGCTATTACAGAATAAAAATGCATGACTCATATCAACTACATTGTTAGTCCAGGAATTTAGCAAGGGGACACCCTCCGAAGGGGAGCTATACACATTACCGCCAAAATTGTTTTTGAAGCACTTTTCAACTACATCACAAAACCTTGTGAAAATGTTCTGTGGGATACCTAATGACAAACATAGTATCAAACGATCTAATAATAATGTTGACTGTGGATTGGATTTCTTAACAGATTGTAGACATTACTTCCATTGTCCTAATTCATGTCTGCTTCCATTGTTTTGTCTTGTACAATGGTCTCCATAGTGGTCTCTCGATAAGCTCGTCTTTTGATAAACCTGTCAAGGTGTTATCAACAACCTTATTAGTATTTAACAGCCATTCACAAATTATAATACATATATACTCTTAAAAGAAACGCTCTACCATCGTCTCGCTGCAACAGGAATCGCGACTCGTCGCTGAACCAAACTGTTCTCTGGCCATACTCTGTGTGTCTAAACCCACTGAAGTCAGATTTGACCTTGTCGCCATATTTCAAAACAACAGATCTAACGGGACGTCTGGCTCGTAATACGGTTCCACATAGGTGTCTATGGACTGTCTGGTCTGAGATTCTACGCTGTCCAGGAATTGCTGCTGCAGTAGAGGTCGCTGTTGTGAACCGTTTCCGCAAATGAGGTAACCGGATGTGACGATCCAGGGCTGGTGGGGTCAGTCTTGTTTGGCCCGAGCTTGGGTGGTCACATGTTGAGCTTTGCTGTCGGTACCTATCCCAAAGCTGAGAAAGGGTACTCTGGGAAACATTCAGCAGTCTGGCTACATCTGTCTGGTATTTGCCTACATGTAACCGACCGATAGATGTTGCGTAGGTTTTCATTCAGATTTGGCATCACTTGCCTCGTTAAATGTTTACATGTGCAACTGATTTTGAAACCCAGAACCCCAGGATTTTAAAGGCCTTAGATTTGGGTTTCATACGAAAAGCTCGCGAAGTTGTTAAATTCATGTGTCTTGGTGCAATCAAGCAAAAACAAATTAGTGACCGTACATTTAAAACCAATAATGAATTTCTTTTACCCTTACATCATGACATTAAAAACAAGTAAGATTTATTGAAACAACGATCCCGTTCAAATAAAAAAATGATGAAAAATGGGCTGTGTGTTTCTTTTTTTGAAGAGTTTATATATTAGTAGCCTTCATTTAACAGGCAATCATATAATATTATCTAATAATATTGACGTGATGTCTTACTAACTAACTTAATTATAAGATGTGTGATACACCTGCCAATATCATTGTCTTACAACATTGGTCAGCAACGCCCAATGTACATTATCTTTAATACAAGCACAAAATTCAATAAAATTCAATGAGACAATAACTTTAACTTGTAGAACGTATGGGATGACAGCAATAATCATGTTTCAAATTGGGACAACGTCAAAAATAGTCCTATTATAATCTTGACCGTCGTGCATACTAAATATGTCACAAATTGACCATCTGGCAAAATTTTGAAGTGAAAGAGAGAGAGAGAAATGAAGTTTAACTAGGTTATTTCAGGACTAACAGTTGGAGGACACTGGAGGAGGTTGGACAAACAACTTACTCCTTGCCACGTTACTGACAGACCTTGTGATTTCACTTTACTACTGGCTTCATACAAAACCTAAAACTTTCTAGTCTCTGGTGAATAGTAAACCGATTGTAACCAATTGCTAAACCTCATGTTAATGAAGGTTGACACATTCTTCCAAGGTTTAGATGAAATACCAAAGCACTAGAGAATCTCAACCAGAAATCATTTAAGTCCAATTCCCCTAACTCTCAACATCAGAAATTACTTTCGCTTTAATCAACTTTCTTCACAGGAAAAGTCACCTCAACCACCATGACTTGACCTGCTCTGTGAGAAGAAAAATGGGCTTTTAATTATTTCATCAATTTATACAGATAGCATTCTCGATTGCATATTATTTAATTGAAAGATAGTATCCAACTCATTAATAATGTCTTTTAATGAATTATATTATCTCTCTAATCTTTGTCTCTTATTATCAGGCCCATTACTAGGGCGGGTAGTTTCCCTCCCTCCCCCTTCCCTATGAAAAAATTGTTGACTATAGATATACATTGTCCGTCAATTTTACAGTCCCCCCTGTGAAAAAATTGTCGACCATAAAAACAATAAGTATAGTATACATTGTCTGTCAATTTTACAGCACCCCTGAGAACACTTGCGCCCCCCCCCCTCATTGCTCTGAGCTAGTTACGTCCCTGCTTATTATATAGGCCTGTACATACCATAAATCTCTCCAAATGAAATATTATATCTCTTCATCCCTTTGTCTATATATAGGCCTACATATACCATAGCTCATGGTATTTGACCGGCGACCGTATGGGTGATCCATAGAAAAACAATAATTGACCAAAAATTAGTATCATTATAGATTTTGTAGATGTGTGAAGATGGTCTTTGATGGTGAATGAATAGAGCAACATAACCTACAATCAATTGATCTCAACTTTTCAAGCCTCACCAAATTGTCTTGAAAGGTCAACAGGCGAATACATGCACATGATATTGTAAATGCAGATGTAAATGATGTTATAGTTAAGTTCACTAACCGTGTCAACTTGGAAAGCATACAGAAGATCAAATGGAATAGCAGCTAATAAATCCAGTAAAAACCAGCCTTTAATATAATTCATAGCAATTAATCGAGACATGTACACCACCTGACCTCCTTTCGAAACAAATGTTGTACGAAAGTTTAACAAAATATCTGAAAAAAAAATGTAATAGTAAGTGAATGAGAACTGTAAGTTGAATATCCACACTTTGCCAAGCAATTCAAATAAATCTAATAGAAAATATTTATACATTTTCTATAAAGGGAAGTTGAACATTTCCTACTCACCTATAATAAACAAAATCTCAACAACAACATCAGAATAAACCGAATCTCGTGAGCGTTCTCTGCCTTGGAATGCTGCATTGAAAGGAACCATTATAGCAATATAAAATGTACATAACAAAATAAGCCAGTCCCATCCGATTTTAAAAATACCATAATGAACAATCACATAGCGTGATTTTTGAACCTCTTGGACTTTATACTCTGGCATACTCCCTGAGAAATTACTGAGCTGAAAAACAAGAAAACATTCTGATGCAACAGGTTTACAAGCCAGTTACTAAGTGTAATTATCACAAGTTATTATAATTTATTTTGTACCGTATAATTTATAGACTTTTTCTCACTGACTCTCATCTTGTGACAGTCAATTCTTTTCATAAATACAACTCTTATTGTTTTCAAAAGAATTATTAAAATCGACTGTACATCTGTTATCGCTCTTTTATTCAGCCAATGAATATAACTGTTTTCCTTGCATCAATTTCCAATTCTTCTAGTGTTTGTTAACGATCAACGGTAGCAAAGATCTGTATTCTTATACTCTTCTACATAGCTCAATATTTTCACCTGATGAAACAAATGTTTATTTTGTGGGGTTTGTATAGTATACTTAAACACAGTGATTGACTAGTGCATACCCAATAGTGAATGAGCTATGATGGAGAGCCGCTCTACAAACTACTCATATTTTAAATTCCAACCAACACGGGTTCTTTTTTACATGCACAGGATCTTGATTTTTTGGACCATCCTAATAATTAAGTTCTGTTCCATGCCAGGCCCTCCAAGCCGATGAATTGGCTATGAAAAAATTACCTGTTTCAACTTATTTTTGGTTTTATTGTTTTTATTATCAAACTGCCCAGATAAATGATAGAGAACTGCTCTACTACGTCTGCGACCATAATTATAATTTTCAGGCAGATCAGCATGTGGTGATAAAGTGTCTTCATCTTTGCCATCAAATGATTCTCCAGTATTATCTAAAATATTAATATAAAAACCATGTCTATTTTTAAAGTCTAATGAAGAATATAAAGAAACTAATCTTCTTCACAAAGTCCAAGTTGCACAGTAATACAGAGGTTTAAAATAGTCGTGGATTTTTATTGTAAAACCATATGAACAAGGATACATTGGACCACATACAAGTTGCTGTACTCACAGGCTGAAATAGCTAGAAAACATGACAGGAATGTTTTCAAGCATTTCATTTCTGCGCCCATCCCCCAAAATCTCGAATTGGGCTGCTGTAAACGTATTTGCAGCATTTAATTTTCAAAAGTTTCTGGGGAGTCCATGCATATCCCCAGACATATGAATACAATGTGCCATATCAGTTCTCAATACACTGATGACATTAGTCACAATGTTCAGATCAACAACAACAATATTTGTAGATTTAATGAAAGTAATAAAGTTATCATTTCAACTAAATAATATGCAAGTTATATTATTAATTAATCCTTGTTTGGGTTACATGATGGTCATTATTTCACATATAGACATTAGTTATAGAGAAATATACACTAATACTATTACATTTCATGAGGAGAAAGATCACTAAATAATATGATTAATTTAGTCGACACACTATGTTAACTGATCAGTTATGTCACAATAGATAAAGATAATCACCATATGTATAGGACATAATGTTGTTGAATATGATATATTTATCATGGTGCTTTACATGACAGGTTGTCCCATTTACAATATTATCATAATATTGTCTTTACTTTCAATATCTCAATTCCTTATTTATCTTGTTACATTAACAGGACTAGAAGCATGTCCTTGCCCCGCCTCACATATCCACTGACAAGGCCAGGCCAACATATCAACGGACAAGGCCAGACCCACATAACCACTGACAAGGCCAGGCCATCATATCCACTGATAAGGCCAGGCCAACATATCCACTGACAAGGTCAGGCCAGGGCCCTGTTTCACAAAAACTTAAATCCCCTTAAAATCGTCTTAAACTAAAATTCCATCCTAACTTAAGATAGATGCGTTTCATAAAACGATTTTAAGCACATTAGGTAAAATCCACTAAAATAATATTGTAAGTTAAAATTGTATCTTAACTTACAACAGTGGCGTTTCACAAAACTATTTTAGGGACAATTTTAACTAAAATCTATTGTAACTTATAGGACAACCGTCACCCTCTTCTAACTTAAAATCACGACATTAACAAACATTAATTAGAGCTACGTTGTGAGATCTATTGCGAGATATAGATATATTTCGAATAATGATAATATTGCCAATGGCCCAGGTTATATAATTCAAACATTCTATCATCCACAAAAATAATTTTCATTCAATTTCTTTTCATTGCATGGGAAATATAAGCAATTAGATGACGCCCCAAATTAAAACTCCAAGAACAAAAAAACCCTCAAAACCCCAGTAAACAAAACTCTTTGTTACTATTTTATATATTACCATATGATTCAAGTATAAATTATACTATTTTCAAATAATTAATAGACCCCCCCAAAAAACCCTAAAAATAATCTAAACCCACTTCATATCTATAAAAAACATCTTTGTAGGCCTACAGAGAGAGAGAGAGAGAGACTAACATATGGTTCAACTTTATTTGAATAATTCGCTTGCGCGTAGAGGTCTTTAGTAGTGGGAGGAACCGGAGAAAACCAATGAGGTTCGACGGGCGACCCTACTCCCTGTCACGTACAACCGGGGAATCGAAACGCTGTCAGTCCTATAATACTAGATACGCCATATGCACAGTATTAATTATGGTTTTGGGGTTATGATGATTTATATAGGAGTCAAGGGTATTTCATATTGTGAAAAAGATCATTTTTATTTAATAAGATAGATAGGCATTATCAAATAAGGAGTGTGACACTTTGGCATTTTCAAATTATTATTGAATGGGTCCATGGGACTGACATTTCAAATCTAGGCATCGGAACATTGGTTATTTCGTGTATTAGTTTAAAAGTTATCAAATACTTTTAAAATTTGACAATTCTTTAGTCTAGATTAATCGTTTGAGTCAGAAATATCACATGTTTGTGACAATTTCTCAATAGTTTCTGTTATCCAAACTACCACAAAACTACGAAATTCAAGCCATTTAGTTTATCAATACGCATTATTTCCATTGAAGCCTGCGAGTAAATCCTATGCCAAGGTCACGAAAGCTACGTGCAAGTTCAAGGCCAACCAAGTGATACATTTCAAAACAAAGCGTGTATATTGTTGGTTATGTACATATAGATGGTTTAAACAATATTTTATTTCTTCTTACTTATATTTATATACTATAGATACAATAACAAGCATTGATGTTTATATTTATATACTATATATATAGATACAATAACAAGCATTAATGTTTATATAAAATCGCTTCCATAAATAATGTTCATTAAAAAGTTTGACGACTGGATTGATTCAGTTTATATATTTTACCAGGTGTTTTTCCGTGTTCATGGTATAGAATAGTAATCACCATCCAATTAGACATTTTACCCCATCTTGCATAAAACTGTAAAAGCCTTTCTCTTGTTTACTTACACCTTACGATGTTATTGTAGGTGATGGAATATGTTTAATATTGCTGGATGAATGAATCTAAGTAAGAATCTCACTTGTGATCAATAATCTGCAGTAATACAGCTAATTGATTTAGGTAAGCAAATCCAATCTAATTAAAAACAATGTAACCTAATTTATATCATATTTATACCCGGTACACCAAAAGGCAGTTTTAAACAAAATAGGGGCCTACCATTTTTTGGGAGTAATTAAAGTTTACAGAAAACAATCACTGGAAATTGTGTTCTGTTAATTTATTTCCCAATCGCTAAATGCGACTTAAAGATTGTAATCCGAGTTGTTTTCGGTGGTTTTTGGTATGGAGCTCTAACCATTCAAATAGATGAAACAGAATATTAAAGTGTTTGTATAAACATGTGTTAATTTATTACAAACAAATAAGCAGCTATGTTTTATATATTAACCATGGCCCTTGATTTAATAAAACATGAGACAAACCACTAATTGCTTTAATATTTATCACCATGTACAATTTGGTGACCAAAATCCCTAGTGTTGTTAATTCTTTTTATAAATGAAATTTTACACAACGAGAGGTCATAAATATTCATTTATTTTAGACTTGCAGTGATGTGCAAAAAACAGCATGCTTTCCCGCCATTTGATGAATTATACACAAAGAAACTGATAATAGTCATATTGTTAACACATTATGGATATTGATCTTATACATTCATCTACATAACATCCACAATCATATGAAGGATAAACAATTCATTCCACTTCAAGTGGGCCAGGGGTTGGAAATCGACCCCCTTGAAAAAATATGTTATTGCACATGTAAAGATAGGTTGCCAAGCAACGAAACATACGCCCACAGCAACTAAATCGTCCGGGCAGTCAACAAGGGTTGTTGCATATTTTTATTTTTTTCGGTAATGAAACATTTATAATACACTAAAATCTGATTAAGAGCAACAACTCACGAAGTAATTATCAGAAAACTATTAGAGTTTGTTTGGTTTTTATAAAGTTCTGCCCCATGCTAACGTTTTGTATGCAAAGCTTTTAATATCATGGATTTAACTGTTCAAGTCATAAAAATTCATTGAAAATCAATATACTTGTTCATCTCAAGATCTTAAACTCTGTGTATCAATCTGAAGTCAATCGGATGATAACTTTAGACTTTAGAGCGTCACAAGATTTTGCAAAGTGATCAATAATTATCGGAAATCGTTGAAAATCAATAGGAATCTTCGTCTCATGACCTCAAACACTGTGTATAAATTTAAACTCAATCAGATATTAACTTTAGCCTCTAGAGCATCCACAAGATTTTTTGAAGTGATCAAGGGCCATAACTCTGACAGTAATTATCGGAAATCGCTGAAAATCAATAGGCTTCTTCGACTCATGACCTTAAACACTGTGTATAAATTGAAAGTCAATCGGATATTAACTTTGGCCTCTAGAGTGTCAACAAGATTTTTCAAAGTGATCAGGGGCCATAACTCTGGCAGCAAATATTGGAAATCGCTGAAAATCAATAGGCTTCTTCGTCTCATGACCTTAAACACTGTGTATAAATTCAAAGTCAATTAAATATTAACTTTGGCTTCTAGAGCATCCACAAGATTTTTTCAAGTGATCAAGGGCCATAACTCTGGGAGTAATTATCAGAAATCGATGAAAACCAATAGGCTTCATCCTCTTATGACCTTAAACACTGTGTATAAATTTAATGTCAATCGGATATTAACTTTAGCCTTTAGAGCATCCACAAGATTTTTTGAAGTGATCATAACTCTGGCAGTAATTATCGGAAATCAATAGGTTTCTTCGTCTCATGACCTTAAACATTGTGTATAAATTTAAAGTCAATCGGATATTAACTTTGGCCTTTAGAGCATCCACAAGATTTTTTGAAGTGATCAAGGGATAACTCTGGCAGTAATTATCGGAAATCGCTGAAAATCAATAGGCTTCTTCGTCTCATGACCTTAAACACTGTGTATAAATTTAAAGTCAATCAGATATTTACTTTAGCCGGATGGACGGACGGACGGACGGACGGACGGGGACGATGACAATATACGACCACATTTCAATGTGGGCGTATAAAAACTAGAAACTGTGCAAAATTTGGGGCCTGTAGCTTGAAAATTGACTGAGATACATTTGAGTTACATGAGTTTCCCATAAGTTTTCGAAACAAAATATGGATCAGTAATTTACTCAAGTTTCAGATATCTTATTTTTAACTTTCTAGTGAACATGTACAGCTCCCATTTAGTTGTCTAAAGGAACTTTTTGTGTAGATTACGAATCTGCAATCAGATTACAGGTGAGTGGTAGGGTTCGCATGCTACTTGGTCATAAAAACCAAAAAAAAAATGGTCTGTCTAATTGTATATTTTCTGGATTTTGTAGCTAGGAGCTACAAAATAATAGATATGGACCCATATTTTGGCCTATCGAGAGATTGCCGGTAGTACTACATACCAGTCTTCACTAGATTCCCAGTAAATTGGCCTTGAATGTGGTTTTAGACACAAATTTTCGAAAATTGCCTCATATTTTTGAGCCAATAGAACTCGGTAGATGAACACCTAAAAGTCTGAAACTTTGTGTAACTATAGTTTGTACTAAATGTCTCCAGCATACGTTAAAACCATTCTTGTTCCATGCCATTTCAATATTTTTCGATTTTTTCAAAATTTGTGTTTTGGGTCATTCCATGTCAATTATCACCCAATGAGTTAAACCGTACCTCTTTCGATTTTGCTGAAATTTGGTTTACATGCTTGACAGAAAAAGCTGATCTATTCTAGCCTCCAGGGACATCAATGTTGTTTTTACCTAAACTCTTGATGTTCATTCATATATCTTACATTATAAAGCAAATAGATATTAAAATCCACAAACAGCATTAGGTCTTCACGCGAGAAATATTTTCATACAAGAATGGTAATTTTAATGAGCTCAATAGATTTATACAAAACATTGACACGAAAATCAAACTGGAATATTTAAGCACATTTATTTTATCGACAGAGAGAGACAGAGAGAGAGAGAGAGAGACGGGGTTTAACATCCACTTGACACAAACTAGGTCATTTTGGGACTAACATATCATTCAATTTTATTTAAATAATTTGCTTGCGTGTAGGGGTCTTTAGCAGTGGGAGGAAACCGGAAGACCAGGAGAAAACCCACGAGATGGGACAGGTGACTCTACTCCTTGACATGTACAACTGGGGAATCGAAACCCTGCCAGTTGACTCAATGAAACCCCTTATGATACAGTGCACATGCGCTAACCATTCGGCCATCCAACCCCCCTTTATTTTATGGTAAAATAAGTGAACATAAAGGCAATACAATTCCAAAAGATAGGTTGCCAGGCAATGAAACATACGCCCACAGCAGCTAAATAGTCAGAGCAGTCAACAAGAGTTGTTGCATATTTTTACTTTTTTTGGTAATAAAACATTTATAATACACTAAAATCTGATCAAGAGTAACAACTCATTAAAGATACATTATGGGAGATTAGATAACGAGAGGGCAGTTCTCACTATAATAGTTAAAAACTACATAATGTGAAGGCAATTTGTTGAAAATTTCATTCAAATTGATCCTCTATGATCCGAGAAATAAGCGGTTGAAATTCCCTGCTAGCCTTGATCATCATTACTAAAGTCAGTACGATAAACAGCATAGTCTCGATTATCCATTTAATCGTTAAATCGTGAAGGAAAGTTATGCAGTAAATCGGCTCACAATCCACTAAATATCACAGGCTAGTGATGCCATCTAGATTTGATTATGGTCTGGATAGGTTAATTAATGTCTAATTAATAAATTAGATAACATTTCAGGCCTAAAGAAAGACCTGCAATAGGCAGATTTAGCTCTTGCATAATGTATGTTTAAGTAATTATCAGAAAACCATTAGAATTTGTTTGGCCCGTGCTAACATTTAGTATACGAAACATTTAATATCATGAATTTAGCTGTTCAAGTTATAAAAATTAATTGAAAATCAATATACTTGTTCGTCTCAAGACCTTAAACTTTGCGTATCAATCTGATAACTTTAGCCTCTAGAGCTTCACAAGATTTTTCAAAGTGATCAAGGGCCATATTTGCCAGTAATTATCGGAAGTCTCATGACCTTAAATACTGTGTATAAATTTAAAGTCAATCAGATATTAACTTCGGCCTCTAGAGCGGTCCACAAGATTTTTTGAAGTGATCAAGAGCCATAACTCTGGCAGTAATTATTGGAAATAGCTGAAAATCAATAGGCTTCTTCATCTCATGACCTTAAACACTGTGTATAATTTTTAAGTCAATCGGATATTAACTTTAGCCTCTATAGCGTCCAGAAATTGTTTTGAAGAGATCAAGGGCCATAACTCTGGCAGTAACTATCGAACAGACGGGAGCTAGGGCTGTACGATATTCTCGATATAGACATTTATCGCGATATTGTATTTTCAGACCAACTACGATATCATATGGCCAAAAATCATCGATATAGTGGTTTATCGAATATCGCCAAAAACTTAAAATATCGAAAAAAAATTATCATAAAAATAGATAATAAATACATTATATACGTACAGCAGTGGAAATTAGCCGACGGCAATAAACTATAATAAAACTAATGTTTTGAGAATCGTTAAATGTTGAAAACACTTGCGCAGTGTCCGCAGCCGTTTTTCACTGCATCGTGTATGTGTTACTTCTACTTTGTTTTTAGTCGACGATAAATTGTCAGTTGTTACTACATGTAAAGCTTAGGCCTACTAAACACCTGAAATTTCCCACTACCGCGGCAAATAACCAGGCTATAAATAGGTTGTCATATTTTTAAAAAACAAATATTTTTAGAAAACTCTACAAAACTTAATTTCTGAAAGCAAAAATAAAACGATCTATAAATAGATAACTGTCACTGTTAGGCCAGGAATATCGCAGCCACTCGAATGCTTGAATGGAAGATAGTCCGGATCATTTAGTATTTGTTAAACTGTTTGAACTTACAATACAAAACTTGAAGACCGCATTTAATTTACTTCCGCTGCAGGTGATATTTGAGAATTTTCTTACACAAGGTCACAAGCAGACGCTTTTTAAACATTAGGGGTTGTATATTAAATTTATATCCAAAAAGGATGGTGTTTTGTTCATTTTAATAAATCTATATTATAAAAAAAGCAAAGTTTAAAGTGTATGAATAAAGCAATTCTTACCCACAAGTCTTACTCACACTGTAGTCAGCTTTAATGCATTTATATTTAATTTATTTAATAGCAAAGTGACATATTATTAAATATCGCGATATTTAACTATATCGTTGGAAAAAATGCCAATATCGATATCGTCCCTTTTTGCAATATCGTATAACCCTAACGGGGGCGACAACAATATACGACCACATTTCAATGTGGGTGTACAACCAGGGTTTAATTCAGACATAAGAGATATCCGAATCCGCGAAAGATTACAAAAAAACCCCAAAAAACAGCATTTAGAAAATAAAGATCAACGCAATCAAGTTAACGATTTTAAAAAAATTCCTAAAAACAAATGACAATGATAAAATTGTAGACAACATCAATAATATATCGAAAGCAAAGGAAAATTACTAGAAATACATGAAGCAATAAATGTTGAATAATGTTGAATAATTTGATGTACCTCTAGACTGATACTCACCACGTGGACACTCACCATTTATATCTGTAACACTATTATCCAATAAATTCACTTTATCTCTTGTAATGTCTTTATGTGAGACCAGAAATAATACAACTTGTCGTTTCTCATTTTTTATTGGGACAATATCCAAAAGGCACCAAAAAGGACTTCCTGAAATAAAAGAATCAAATCAGTAATGCAAACAATGCTGCTTTGGTATAATTATCTCATCCATGCAAATTTGAAAAGTAAATCATATTAAGGAAGTAAATTAACTACAAGACAATGAACAACAACATGATCACAAATAGTTAGTCTAGTTTACTTGCCAATATCAAATTCTGGAGATCTGTATATTGTTGTTCCCAAGATTAAATATCTGTTCACTGGGATTACGAAAAAAGTTGGATGGAGGGGGCGGGGGGCAGGGGATCTGTAACTCGAGAACAAAAGTTTGCTTAAGGGTAAGTCCCTTAACCCTTAACCGGTCATTGTTGACTATAGTCACCACAAGTTATACAGCTAAGTGGTCACGGTCGACTAAAGTCGACCACAGCAAGAACCTTTTTGATAAGCCGCATTCTAGTATTTAGTTTTGTATTTAATTGATATGGCCACACATGCGTGTCAGACAGGAACTTGTCTTGTCAAGGGCATTATGAAAAACATGTCTTTGTTCAACAATTTTTGACGAAAAATGTAATTTAACGATGTCGGGAATGTTAAAGACGCTCAAAGTGGTTGAAATACTTATGAATGATTCCGACTCGGATTATATCGATGACACCGATTCTGAAGAAAATATTTCTGATGAAAAGGTCTTAGAATGATTTGCAAATTATAGATCAACTTATCCCCTTCAACTTTTTTATTGGTGTCATGAGTCGATTGAAATAGGCATACAAAATATTTATTTAGCCTGACCACTTGACGTCATGACATCAAAATGACGTCGACCGGTTAAGGGTTAATAACTTCGATGTTTCATACCAGATTTGAAATAAATCCATTAATAACTCAATTGCATTCACATTCACAACTGTTGACTAACGTACCAATTGACAATGACCAAAAGGTATGTTAACTTTTAACACTATGATTAATAAATCTAGATATCTACAATAGACATCAGACATTATATATTAAGTATATCAAATTTTAAAGAGAGAGAGAGAAATGGGATTTAACATCCACTCGACACATCATTCCCGGACTAACATATGGTGCAATTTTATTTCAATAAATCGCTTGTAAAGAGAGTAAGCCAGAGGTTAGACAGACGACCCTACTCCTTGTCACGTACCACACCACTTGACTCAATGACAGACCTTATGCCTACAAGGTTAGACAGACGACCCTACTCCTTGTCACGTACCACACCACTTGACTCAATGACAGACCTTATCATTTAACGTGCACACGTAAACCACAATCTATAAAAGTTTAAAAGATTCAATGATAAATGTAGTAGTCCGGTGGCTGAAGGAGGGGAATTTATGAAACCAAGTTTTTCTAGACCAGATTTTTGCATAGATTCCGAATCTGGGTGGTGATCAGGCATTTGAGGGGGTGTTTTCGAGATATAGGGGTCAAATGTCTACAATGGGGGGGGGGGGAGGTATGTCATTATGTTGACATAATATATTAATAAAACATAAATTTCTAGGACTGCCCATCTATAAATAAGTGTTTATGATGCCCCTGGACAACTGTTTTGATTTATGGGGAGGTGGGGCGGGTGTAGCAGGTTTGCGCATATGGAGGGGTTGGGTGGGGATAAAACTGGCGGGGAAATGAGTTCACGTTGATTTAAATGATGATTTTCTAAGAGCTTGATGAAACATCTCTAAATATGTTTATAAGATTCCTATTGTATGGGGGTGGATGCCGGGGTGATTGCCCGTCGTGGGGGGGGGGGGGGCGGTGCGGGTGATGGCAACATGTATTTTTGTGGACAGAAATCATTTCGTTCATAATTGAGCTTAAAGTGGTATCTCGTTAGCGTTTTCATTCAAAATATTAAATTATAATGGTACTTTTCAAGAGATCTGGAAATGTAAATCCAATATACATTAAATCATATGAGCGAGATAAATATTTTCTTGGTTGCTGGCCAACAGCTCGCATATCCTTTGGATATGCTTCAGAAACCAATTCACATTGTAAATCTTCATTCCAGCCATGCAGCAAAAGACCGCGTATACTGCAAGATGGTAATAAAGACAGGTCTGTTATTTTTTCACCCAGAAAATCTTTTTTCTAGCGTCATCTAGTGATGTAAGTCGTCTTTCGCGATATTTTCTACCTTTGCCCGTCTCATTATCGATCAAAATTTGTATATTTGGATCATCGTTTGCGAAGAGAATGATTGGGATGTCTATTTCGCCCGAGCAAGAACGCAGAATACAATTTGTTTCAGCACCTCCATTAATTTGCAATGCGAAGAGGAGTAGGTAAGATATTTTGGTGTCATCGTGGTTAGTTGTCAGTTCTAGGATATTCTCGACACTTTTAATACTAATCTTGATATTTTTTGATCCAATCAAGATTAGTATTGAAAGTGTCGAGAATATCTCGGCCTACGGTACATGCTTTTATGTTTTATTAATATATTATGTCAACATAATGCCCCCCCCCCCCACACACACACCTGCTATCCCCACCCCACAATTCAAAACAGTTGTCCAGGGGCATCATAAACACTTATTTATAGATGGGCAGTCTTAGAAATTTATGTTTTATTAATATATTACGTCAACATAATGACATCTCCCCCCCCCTCATTGTAGACATTTGACCCCCTATATCTCAAAAACGCCCTCTCAAATGCCTGATCACCACCCAGATTTGGAATCTACGTAAAAAACTGGTCTAGAAAAACTTGGTCTCATAAATGCCACCAGACTATAGTGTTCACAAGACATGGTGGATAGATGGTGGGGAGGGGGCTACAGCAACTTATATAGCAGCATGAGATACCTATTCACAGGGAAGAAAGAAAACCATTATAAATGTATACAATAGTAAGTACAGGAGGACTGCACTACACACAACACAAAACCTACAAGATAAACAAACTAAACAGACATTGCAAAATATAAACAACAAATTCATGTGAAACATGCACTAGCAGGCACAGATTTAAGGAGGGATGGGGGCGGATGATTTCCCGTTCCCCCCCCCCCTCCCATAAAACCAAGTTACCACCCCTAGTGTTCACAAAAAAATAACAATAAAATCAATAAGAATCATAACATAACAAGAACTTTATGTCAACTTGAATAAAACTACTTTCTGGCTAGATAATGACATGTGTAAGGTTATAGAACGATACTCAACTCTAAAGATTTTTTTGAAAACTGATGACAATCAATTTTATTGCATTATATAGGATTTGCTGTGTGAAAACCTTTACCATACTGAAAGATTGTTTGAAATGTCATGCAAGCAATGGGTTTAACTGAAAACAGTTCTCAGTTGTTTATATGTCTGTGATATTTCTATTTGATCCTCTAAATGTTTCGGTAGGATCTGCAGTAAAATCTTACTCTTTAAAACCACCTACTTTGATCATGGGAGCTTATATAGTCTGCACATAAAATGTCATCATGCAAATCCTAATACTACAGGTATTAGTTTTAAAGCCCACTATATTTAGTTTATTCTTTATAATAAATTATGTCATCAAAGTTATGGCGTTATATTAACATTATACAACACCACTGGTTACTATGACTTCTCTTGTTCAAATTTTATTTGTGTAGTTGTGTTCTGAGCAGAAGTAAGTTTTTAAGAGGGTTTTTGTAATACCTATGACTTTGTTTTTATCCACAGGAAAATGTGGGTGTATAAAATTTTCAAGCTTTTCTTGGTACGCCTACATACTATAGGCGCAGTGCTTTGTGCCTTCGATGGCTCCCTATACTCTAAACGCATATCATTTACTGGTATGTCACCATCCTCTAATATATGATGGAATTCAGTAGATTGACCTTGTGCACTTTAAATTACTGATGACAGCTTGTTTTTATTTCTATCATGCAGGTCTCTTTTAAATAGACAACTTGATATGTACATTATAATTGTTTTATATGTATTTCAAGATGCTGTTATGTCTTTAGTGCACCGATTGCCTGGGATCTTTATATTAATTATTTCTGGCATATTTTCTATGAAAAGTTTTTGCTATTTCTATACGTTATTTCTATATGCTATTATTAGCTAATAATCTAAGAGTTTTTGCTATTTCTATATGCTATTATTAGGTGATAATCTAAGAGTTTTTGCTATTTCTATATGCTATTATTAGCTAATAATCTAAGAGTTTTTGCTATTTCTATATGCTATTATTAGGTGATAATCTAAGAGTTTTTGCTATTTCTATACATTATTTCTATATGCTATTATTAGCTAATAATCTAAGAGTTTTTGCTATTTCTATATGCTATTATTAGGTGATAATCTAAGAGTTTTTGCTATTTCTATATGCTATTATTAGGTGATAATCTAAGAGTTTTTGCTATTTCTATACATTATTTCTATATGCTATTATTAGCTAATAATCTAAGAGTTTTTGCTATTTCTATATGCTTTTATTAGCTAATAATCTAAGAGTTTTTGCTATTTCTATATGCTATTATTAGCTAATAATCTAAGAGTTTTTGCTATTTCTATATGCTATTATTAGGTGATAATCTAAGAGTTTTTGCTATTTCTATACGTTATTTCTATATGCTATTATTAGCTAATAATCTAAGAGTTTTTGCTATTTCTATATGCTTTTATTAGCTAATAATCTAAGAGTTTTTGCTATTTCTATATGCTATTATTAGCTAATAATCTAAGAGTTTTTGCTATTTCTATATGCTATTATTAGGTGATAATCTAAGAGTTTTTGCTATTTCTATATGCTATTATTAGGTGATAATCTAAGAGTTTTTGCTATTTCTATACATTATTTCTATATGCTATTATTAGCTAATAATCTAAGAGTTTTTGCTATTTCTATATGCTTTTATTAGCTAATAATCTAAGAGTTTTTGCTATTTCTATATGCTATTATTAGCTAATAATCTAAGAGTTTTTGCTATTTCTATATGCTATTATTAGGTGATAATCTAAGGATGATATGTTGTCTTGTTTCCTTAAATTTGGATTATTTAGTGCATATT